GTTTGTTGCCAAGTTTAAGAATGAATAGAACTCAACTTGCAGTCCTCTGAATGCCTTCACAAAGTTGTGTTGTGGCAAAGGAAAACTTTGCTTTTTTGAAATAAATAGTACAGGACCATATTTGTTTCCATTTAACATTGAGAGAGCATTAACAGAAGTATGGATTTCCTTTTGCACTGAAGAGTAATGTCGATGGATTGTATAGGATCATTTATTGTCAGTAATGTTACTGTGAGTGTGCAGTGTTTTGTACAACATGCCAGAAACTCTCCATGTATCAAGCAGTTGTCAAAACCCCACAGATGTTTGCTTAGTATAAAAAAAATTTTGTCGTGACCATGCTGCATTAGAAAATTTAATTTATTAATGTAACATTTGTCATTCATTCATAGTTAAGACAGTAGCTATTTCTGCTGAACTCTGAACCTAGAGTTTATGTCTGCCTGTCACGCCCATGGGTCAAAATCTCATATTTCTATATGATAAAAGTACATTAGGATGTGTGAATGATCCTCAGTGATATCTCAGGTTAAACCAATGCCCCATTCAATATTCAAGCCACTTAACTTTGCTCGTGTCAGACACTGAAAATGCAGAATCTGATAGCAGCATGGTTATGACATTGCCAGTTTATTAACTAAGCATTTCTCTGATGTTTTGCTTTTGGCAATTGTATATGATGCACACTTGTAATGAACTAAATACCTAACCTAAGTCTATTCCATTTCTTTTCTGACTAATATGTCAGTGGTTCATCTTTGTTTTCACCATATTGTTGGCATGACATTTTTCCTTAATTTCTTGTTATATATCAGTGCAAATCTGAACTCGAACTCCCTGTCCTTCCTTATGATAGTACTACTATTGCAATGGGAAATTATTGATGATCTGATTTTGGAGTAGAATGGGTTTATATGCTATGACGAACAAGAATTTTAATTGTAATCTATGCAGCAGAAAATGATCATATTTTAAGTGCTACTGTGGATAAGTCGGAGTAACCATGAAGAATGTCATGACAGCAAGTCCCTGGCTGGGATACTGAAAATATTGAAACAGAAAGAACTAAGTTGGAGAACACAGACACATTATCTGGCATGGTGAATAATTTTCATAAAATAATAATCCATTTATGTTAATCATGTGCTGTGTTGTTTTAGTGACTAGCTATAGAATGAAAGGCTAGGGTTTGATTCCTGATAGAGATGGGGATTTTTCTGAGCTTTACATTTTACTAATTCCATGGTAGTGTAGGATATTCCATGAGTAGATGATTGTTTTTCTACCTGTCAAAAAATTCCCTATTATTGAATCCAAATATTTATACTTGACAATAAGAGGCCACCAATTGACATTGTCATTGACTAAATGAATCCTGTTACTGTAAGATGCAGAAATAGCGAGAACAGCTCAGTTACTAAAGTAGGTGAAGACAGGCTTGAAGGCTAGGGTTAGATTTTCAATAGGACAGGGACCTTTTTCTGCCAGCACATCCACACAGGCCCTGGGACTCACCCAGCCTCCCATCCAATGGTTACTGGAGACTTCTGTTCCTCTGGTTGTAAAGTGACTGAAGCAATCGCCACACCTAGTGCTAAAGTCTAGAATGTGTCAAGCTTCACCTCCATATCATCTGTATATCTTGGTGGTATGTTGCTTAAGAATAAATCTCAAAGTTCAAATTTAATGTCATTTTTACATTGCCACTTAGGCGAAGTGGTTTCCTCCATTGGGGTTTCGCCTCCTTGCTTGCTGTATGTTCACCCACCTCTTCCTTCTGAGCTGTCATGTTCACCTTTTAGTCTTATCGTTGTTACAAAAAAAAATTCTGTGTGAATGTTTAATTTGTTTTTAGTTGTTACAGATTAAATGTCCTCCAAACATTTAATGTGCTTAACTGTTTTTTAAAGTGAATTGTTGCTCACAGCATAATCTTAAAGTAATCCACATTTAGTAGTTTAGCAATTCTGATAAATGTGATATAGTGGAGAGTTTTGGAATTTCAGGTTACACAAAGTCTTCTGACTCAGTTCGAGTCAGTCATTGGATGATACAGAGGAGCAGGAATTCATCACCTGAGTTACTGGATGGTCCTGATAGAGAAGGGGTTACAACGACCTTAATTATAGGAAGTAATGGCACATCTCCACCATTTGTACGAGCCCCAGCTGAAGACCGATCAAAGTATGAGAAGCTGATACACGACTTCGAGGATGTTTCTTCAGATGACAGCCACACAAGTCAGCCAGAAGCTGGTAATGTATTTTGTTATTATTGCTCATTTCAGCCCTAATAATGGAGGCAGTGTTTTCATGTGAGATATTGACACAGAGGCAGAATATTGGCATAGCAACCCAGAAGATCATCCATCATTGTATAGATGTATAATTTTCTTTGTATACCTTATTGATGTTTAACATTACAGTGTTGATTGCATTGAAGATAATATGCTGAGTGGAGTTGTTGATTCTTGGATTATTTTAAAACACTTCCTAAAGTATATGTGCTGTATAGCATAGTCAGTAAATTGTGTTAAAATGTGTGGGGATGAAAAAGTATTGTTTATCTAATGTTCACAGTAGGGTGATTATTGGCTGACACAGCAAACTGACATATTTTCACTAACATTGAAAGGGTTCACGTTTATTCTACAGTTGGCAGCAAAGTACAAAGAAAACGGCATCGAGTACGAAGTAACTTGGCTGCTGTGGCTGATAGTAAGCTCAAGAAAGATGTTGCCACCACAAATCCGAATTCTGATCCAAAGTGTGGTGGTCATCTGTCTGATGACTCTATTGGTATGCTGTCTCTCTTAAACCCTGTCATGATTGGTTAATGTCTTTGTTAAATACCAAGTGATTCGGTCATAAAGTTGAGTGGTGATGAGTAACTCTTGGACCTAAGTTTTTATAGTGCATAAAGTTGTAAATTTAGACATTCAGAATCCAGATATTAATAAATTGCGCAGAATTTAGTATAATTGTATTTGTGTAGAATGTAGTCAATTATTTATATTCTTATTTTCTACTGTTAATGTGATTATATAAAAAGAATGAGATTGACAGTACAAACTTGTGGTGTGAAACTATAAGTTTATATCTTGCAGATTTACTGTTGTGCAGAGATTATTAACTAAATTGTATAATTATTAATTTATAATTCTTGATTCTTAACCTTGCCCTTGGTGGACTAGTGGTTAACCATTTCTAACCATACATAAAATATTTGTTGCTAATTGAGGCAATAATTAAAGTTCAGAAACTATTACATTCAGAGTTCGAGTGAATGCTATTTGTATTGTTATATGATGCACAGGATCGGCTAGTGACCTACGAGCTATGAATGAAGACGAAGCTCAAGTGGAAGGGGATGAGGAAGATAGACTCAACTGTAACCCAGAGCATCTTAATGATGAGACCATATCAGAAAGTATCATTACCTGTGGTTCTTCTGCTTACCATGCTGAGTGTGAGAGCTTAGCAACCCATGATGATGATGAAGATGATGGGAGACGCCGTCATAAGGTACCAACAAGTAAACGTGATGCTACTGCTAGTAGTCAACAGATTGTAGCGGAGGATGAGGTTGATATTAATGATGGCCATGATCTTCTGTTTGTGGGGCACCAGTATGGTGAGAAGCCGCTCCTTGCTGATGATGAATTGGACACTGATGATGATGGTGGCATGAGAAGTCCTTCTCCAGTTCATAATAGTTACTGGAGGCATCCTGTAGATGAAGAAGCAAATAAAGGAATGTCGTGGGAGAAAACCAGCCCTGGAAAAGATATTATTGTGGATGTATTTGCTTTGGCACCGTTCCAGAAACCAGCAGGGGGGTCTTCTAGGAGAAGTTCCAGCAGAGGAAGCAACAAAAAGGTTTTAGGGCATTACCAGAGTCGGAGCCAGCCAACTAGTCAGACTGTGTCCCCAATGGATATTCTTACAGGTGGATGCAAGTCATCACTACTTATCTCTGCTTCTCCTCTCTCTCACCCTATTACACCACCACAGGAGCCTTCTGTACCACTGCAGGATGCACCGTTGGTAGATTTGGGAGAACCATCTGCTTCAAACTCAAATGCATCAGTAGAGGCCAAGTGTGTTCCTGCTGTTGCACAGCATGAACTTGAAGAGGGCCCAAAGAACCTTCCTCAGCACAGGTATTTTTTTTTTGTCTTTAAATATCTGTGTGATTTTGTCTCCTGAAAACTCGTAGTTGGTCTAAACATTTGGGCTCTTGTATGTCTTTTGTACTCACAACATTACAAATGCACAGTGGGGAAATACGTGTTGACCAGCTTCTTGAAACCCAAACTGCATTCACTAAAACCCACAATAGGAACCAATCCTACTGCTACCTTAAACTGTGCTCTTTTATGTATATAAGACTTGTGAGACTAAATGGTAGGCTGTTGAACATTTTGAGTCCTACTCAAAGTATGAATGTTTGTAAAAAGGGAGGCGAAGTCAGTCGCCTACTTGTGGTGCCCCCTGTTCGCTAAAAACAACTGACACTTGTCGCCTTGTATATAGACTAATGACTGAGAGGCTTAAGTCTGGTGTAGGAAAAAAAACATTTTGATGTTATTTGTATTATTATGATGAGATGATTGTCATTTAGAACATTAATAGGAAGAATTCATAAGACATTTGGTGATTCTTACAGATTGACTTGCCATTATATTGTGGTTTTCCATTGCATTGTATCTACATTACTTCATAGTCTAATACATTTCTTAATCTTTCACTTGTATAGGTATGAGAATGTACTTGACACACCATTTCAAGAGCAGAAGGAAAACTCAGTTCCAGATTCGCTTTGTAGCAGCAGGTTTGAGAATTCTGTTCACTTTGCATCTTCGGTTCCTCCAATTGCAGAACAAGATGAAGATCCTTCAGATGGAGGTGGAAGCAACAAGGATTTGTTTGGTTCATCTCCATTCAGTTCTGGATCCTATATTGTTAATCCCTTCAGCAGTAATAATAGTCGAAGCTGTACCAACAATGGTGCTGCGATGGTCACCAGTGTTTCTCCATTGAATCCATACCAAGTAACAACTCCTTCACCTGTTGTCTTCCATCAGCAGGATTCTCCTTCCTTCACAAATTCTCAGCCTGAATATTTCAGTCCTTCACAGAAATTCCTCTTGCAGAATCCTGAACATCATTCCCTTGAATCACCAGGCAGCCCTTCAAGTGTGGTTAACAGTAACTTGGCAGCAAACTTGGCAACTTCACCAGCTGGAGTTACCCCAGTTTCAACTATTCTGAGGCAGCCTAGCAAACCACAACAGGATCTATTTGGTGCAGTTCCATTCAGCAAAATGACTTCACAGGTCCTCACAAAACAGTCACAGTCTATTAATTTTCCAAGACCAACAACCCTACCTCTCCGTCATGTGTCAGCAGCCATTGACACGGTTCCAACACTGAAATCTGACCATAGGCATTCCTATAGCATCAGTCCAGCAGCTGTAAGTGTTTTGAAGTCAGAACCCCTCGAATCCTGCTGCTTCCAAGGAGGTACAGCTTCTTCTCCAACAGAAGCAAACAGGCATAAAGGAAATAATGATACGTCTCCGAAGCTTCTCCAACGTAAGGATAAGACCAAGAGCAGTGACAAATCTAAATACCATCTAATAGAAGACTGTCATAGTAGTAAAGCAGAGAAACTTAATCCTTTACCTTCAAAATTGTCACATAAGACTGGGAAATCTATGACATCTTCAAGTTTTAGGAAGTCTTCTAAAGTTTCAAAGAAGATTGGAGGTGAGAAAACATCAAAAGTTGCTGCAGCTGGGTTCAGTAACATGAGTTTTGAAGACTTCCCCAGTGATGAGGGAGATGAAGTATTAACGGAACAAGTGGTTGTTCCATTTGAGGTGATTCGAGGTGAGAAACAGGCACATGAAGTAGAAAGGAAGTTTGGCTCGTTGAAACGACGTTCTAATCCATTTTCTTGAGGAACACTGCAGGTAAGCAACAGTTACCAACTGCTGTGTAACCCATAGTCTTAAATGATGGTGGTGAAGTAAAGTGATGAACATTAGTTTCTAAAAAAAACCATCAAAACAACAGGGTGTCTTCAAATTTAAAACTATGATTTGTAACAAATTAGTATTATGCCACAGATTGTGACAGACATTAAATGTTCATCATATTTTGAAGAGGAGCATTATTTATCCTTCAAATTTTAATTTGCAAAAGAAATAGTAGTTGTCTCCAGAAATAACGAGGAATGCTTTTGTACTAAAATCTTATCAAGTTGCCATTAGTCATCATGTGATTATGTGTAACATATAGACGCAACTTTCTTGCTGAATGCCAGTAAGATGCATCTTTGCAGTTCCTTCGTTTAAAGTGGCCGTGGTAGCCATAATCAGCTTTATGCTAAATATCTGACATAAACATTGATAGTGAATATTTAAATATAATTTACAAAGTTCTAGAGATGCACTGTACCAGTATTTGTGTATATTTTATTTATATGAGTGTGTAATGTGTAAAATAGATCATGACTTGTTGTGCTGATTATTGCTCCGTATGCGTGTGGGTACTTGAAGCATGCTGTGCTGCATGTCAGCCACTTGGTAACGTCAAAATTGTGTCTTTCATATACAGGAGTCCTTTATTACCTCACCATTTTATTCACATCTCTTTTCGTTCAGAGTTAAAGTTTGTGTGAATACTTCTTTGTCAAAGACTTGGGTTCACTTTGGAATTGCTGTGTGTGGTCAAGTATGCATTTGTAAGCCTGTTGAATGGGTCTTAAGCTTATCTCAACATGTGAATGTCTCTCTTCATCAAAAAGATTACAATAGAAATTGTTTCCCCACACACACTCATCATTCACCTTTGAAATTAAATACTCAGATTCCATACCAATGCAGTTCAAATAAAATTTGTTGAAATCTTGTTGATTCACAACAAAAGTACACATATCACCATACAGTGATACTAAAATATGCCAAGTTGCAGTTTCTGGAAAGCAACAGGTTACGCCCTGTTTCAGCTTATGTTCTGCTTTTGTGACGCTGTGTGTGGGGAAAATTTATTGAACTGTCTAAAACGGGTCGTCAACCTGGTCCCTTCCGCCCACTAGTGGGCGATTCAAGCTTTCATGGTGGGCGGTGGGGGTTTTTGTCCGTTGTTACAAATTTTGTTCTTCCTCCATATATCGAATACATTGCTAACAACTTCGAGAGTTTGACTTTTTAAAATATGCTTTTGCAATTTACTTTTGAATTCCATCTCTAAACTTTGAATATAGATAATAATTCACTGGACACTTCTCGAAGTATACTCGTGGACGAGGGAGCAAAGAATGAGCTCCGTAGCCAAAGGCACGAGTTTAGTGTGCATAACAAGGGCGGGGCTTACCACCAGCCATCACTCGGTCTTCAAGCTGTACCTCTTTCATGGTGGTGGGCAGTAAGGAAATTTTACCATCAACAAAGATACAAAAGTGGATTGACGACCCCTGGTCTAAAACATTAACAACACGTATGCTGCCAACTGTTGAGAGGAAGCAAATTTTCATTATGCTCTACTTGCACAACAAAACTTTAATGATGAAATGCTCTTGGGCTACAAGCCACGTCAGGTGGCTGAACTCTGAACAAACCATATCTTCTACCATCATTTTGAGAACCATCTCTGTGCTCATCCTCAGGGTTACTGCAAAAGCTTCACTCCATACAAAACTTGAGTGCTTGATATTTTTGAAGTTCCAAACTACAAAAGATGTGAGTGTACAGCTGGCATCATAATTCCAGTTATTCATAATATTCTTGTATTTGTCCATATGCGAATTTTGTATACTTTCCATTAACTAATGACAGTGAATGACAGGAAGAGAGGATGGTGTAGCCAGACCCAAATTATGAACCCCATTTGGGGCCAGTAACAGCTGCATCAACTTCATTGTCTGTCTGTTCCTGCCATGTTCTTCCCACTTGTCCTTACTGAACCCTGACCAGATAGGGTCTCACCGCATTCATACCTTGCCGTTGGTCCCATAAAAGGACCAGTATTTCCCTGTGTATGTATTCTTCACATTGTAGTGAGAGTGAAGAATGTCTTATGGGCCCATCCATATCTGTTCGTTGTTAGAACACATTTGTGTGTAACATTTGCATCAATGGGGTCTTTATCATTGGCCTGGATGCTGTTGAAGGTACAACAATGTTTTTGAAGGATTTAGTTTATTCATTTGAATGCTGATTCCATAGTTTGTACATCATGATTCTGCAGTAAATATTTTGAGGACCAGTTAACTAGTATTGATTATTTCATGCATAGAGTCTCTGTACACAGGAAATGACTGCAAATGATATATGCCGACATAGCGTTATGAAGCCATCTGCAATGTCAACAGCAGGTCAATCATTTCATTTTGAAACATCTGCATTTGTTTATAAGTTTTGTTGGCTGCATCTTGGACGATGCTTTGTGTTTATTTTCTAAATGCTATACCCTGGTCCTCGTGCGCCTGGCCGCTGGGACCGTGGGTTCGAGTCCCACTCAAGGCATGGATGTTTGTCCGCGTCTTTCTGTGTTTGTATAGGTAGAGACCTTGCGTTGGGCTGATCACTCATCCAAGGAGTCCTACCATTGTCCAAATAGATCAAATGAATAAATAAAAACCTCGACACCTGCGGGTAAAAAGAGAATAAAGATTAAGTAAGTAAAGTATACCCTGGTGAGGATTGCATAAATTATAAATAAATGAGTCATAAATATACCAATGACAAGTTTATTCCAAGTGAAACTTGGTAAGTGATGTAGTTATTTAAAACAAAGGTAAAATGTATGTGAACCTTCGGGTTCCTTATAGAAAGTGGACTATTCTTTGACAAGCTGAGTATACAATTGACTTTTCAAAGAATTTCCTGCACCATAGAGTGAGTGAGTAAATGTACTTGAATATTAAAAAGACAGTTTATAGAAGTGCTATATCATTAAAAATGTATTATCAACTCTGCGACTCTCCATAATTGCAATAATGCCATTTTAGTAAATGACTGGTTATTTTCAGACAGTTGTGTAAGTGACATTTTAAATTTAATTTTAACTATACAACAACGAAACTATTGTGTCATAGGGACTGAAATGTCACAGAAGTAAGGGAACTGTTATTAATGTGTGTGTGTGTCTTCAAAATTAGTTAATTGTAGTTGGTGAAGCCATCTACATGAACCTGAAGTTGTTACATCAGGTAAATATGCCCAAGAAATAGGCTGCTGTACTCACTTAATTTACAGACACTTCCATGTTCGCTATAAATATTAATTTCTTTTAATGGAATATAGAAACAAATGAAGTATCAGTGTTTATGAATTTGTAGGTAAATGTACAATCTTTGAGAAGGAGCATTAGTTTTTGGGAACAGACTCCAAATGTATACCTTGAGTATTCTCTTCCTTATATCTGCTGGCAATCTTTGGTATTAATATTGTTGGACTTCAGATTCTACGATAAGAGAGTTACTTAATGTTACTTCATTAGCATATTCTCATCTACCCTGCAGTATAAAGACACTGCAAAGAGCTCTCCATTCTCGTTTTTTTGTTTGTATTTGGACCTCATTTTATTCCATTCCTTTGCTTCTCAGTGTTTCCAGAATATTTTTTGGAGTTGTCTGGGTCTTCTTTCTTTCAATCTTGTCTGCCATACTTTTTAGCGTAGCTTTTATTTTCTATTTTAAATATATGTGTCCAGATCATCTGTGCAGTGAATTTTGTGTTCATTTAATGGACTGTAACTACTTGATTTCCTTTTTAACTCTAATTCAGAGATAGGAAATTTTTCACAGTGAGAATGACAGGAGCATGTACATGGAATTTGTGTTAAAACTGCTGTATTTACTTCTTTGTTCTATTACATTATTGCTTTGACATACCTCATTGGAGCACTTATTCATTTACCATATACCACCAAATTAGTGCAATAAAATAATGGTAAGGAAATCATGCTTACAGAAACCAACGCTTATTTCAATAAAATCTTCTCGGGCAACAAGCCGTGCTAGAATGGACTACAAGAAGATTTTGTTGCATGTAGTCGCTGCGTAAGCTTCAAGTCTTATACAACTCTTATTTGTTACAGATCAGAATGAAAACTTATTCAAGTTAATACAACATAATTTGCAGACACCCTGGTAGTTGTCATTTTATTGTAAGGCACCCAGATGATGTTATACCTATATGGCATTTCGTATTCCATACTTTCTTGTTTAATATTTCCTGAAGTGTATTTTTTCAAATGAAATTTTGAAGAAAGCAATCCAGAGTTTGTTACTGTTTTATTAAGTTTAATAAGATGAACCTGGATTTAGCTGGATCAGCATTTAAAACAAGACCAAACTGGATTCCTCACAGAAATACTCTTGGAAAATCACATCATTAGTTTGAGAATTTGTCCTCTGCATAGTGACTGCACTTGGCATGAATGTTGGCTAAAGAAATCTCATAGTTTATTTAGTTTTTATATGTAAAAATATAATATTCTGCTGATAAAAGCAGTGCTTTGTGTGTTCATAGTTATTAGTATATAACTAATGCAAGAAAATGTGTTAAATAACATTTAATTAACTATTCTCTAAGTTTAAATAGCAATGAAAATCTGGAAATGTAAAATCGTTGTGAATGTAAGCGATATCAGGCCTCCCACTTTAGTTAAGAGAGTCCACAGACAAGTATTTGTATGTAAATCTAAAACTTCAAGTGATAACTTACATTAATAAGGGTCTGCTTTATGTACACTGAATGAAATCACCATTTAATGCACCTATATTTCATTATAGAAAAGTACATTATACGAGGCGCGTCCCAAAAGTAAGTTTCCCTGGGGCCGTTTACAGAAACAAAACGCAATTTCATGGAAATATTTATTGCAACAGATACAGCAAGTGTCCAGCTATTTTTCAACATATTCGCCACCGGAATTGAGACATTTGTCATACCGTGGGACCAACGTTTGAATACCTGTGTCGTAGAAGTCTGCCGCCTGGGATTGGAACCACTGTGTGACAAATTTCGATCGGCGCTATGCTCTGTGCATTCAAAAACTTTATCACTGACCGCACTTCACAGTCGGCGGGAGCTGGAATAAGAACCTCCATCTTCATCAGCTGCAACGATGCTACTGTGAGAACGCGGGAAGTACCGTTAGTGCATGCGCCATGCTACGTCATTGCTCTATCACGTACGCACAGTCGCTTCGCGCAATATAAGGTTTGCTAGCTGTGGGACGAGTAGGAAACTTACTTTTGGGACGCGCCTCGTATGTGAGTATATAGTGTTGTAAAAGTAATGTTTGTAAATGTTTTCCTCAGAGTTCATGTATGAACCACTTAAAACTATTGTATGTATCACACTGTTTAAACTTCTGGTGCATTTTTAAGTATTTTTAGAATTATCTAATACAAAATAAAACAGCAATGTCACTTTAAATTGGAAGTCTTCATAAGACAGTAAATTCTACTGGAGACCAAAATTTGAAGTATGTGTCTACCAGAAGATTA